CCTCAATCTTCAATGCCTAGTCTGATTCCGGCCTAAGGGTGCCATTACATGAGCGCGGAAACGCGAAAATGCGGAAACGCGTAACCAATCAGAAGCGATCCGCTGTTATGGTTTCGCGTTTTACCGATTACTGATTGGTTGCGGGTTTTCGTGTTTCCGCGCTCATGTAATGGCACCCTAAGCGCGTTCTGAATACGGGCCTTTGTCATTGCATCACCCGACACCTCCTGGATGAGTTCTGGAAAGTTCCACGAGGGTAGAAAGGCGCTCAAGCTTGCGTATGATTCTCGGCTGTTCTCCTTTCATTCTCGTTTTTCGTGCATTTTCGTGTGTCTGACGCGTAGAGCAGCGTAGAGTCAAAAGTCCATTATCTATTGATTGCACAGTTGAATTTTTCGAATTCCCGAGCATCCCAAGGCATCCCACAAAATGTCGTTGTTCGGATCATTCATGGGTGATGACGATCTTTTTAATATCTTTGGGTGAGTTCTCCGTCGTGATTTCGTTTGGATATGTATACATGCTACTCTGGAGGTCGCAGTCCTATTTGAAGTGCAATGGCTCATAATGGATCTGTCAAATGTATTGTTAGCATCATGACTGTGTTTGAAGTTAAATTTCAGAGAAAATAATTTTTAAGTCAGAGGCATAATTCTCGTCTCTTCAAAGTCAAGTTCTTAATGGGCATGTCCGACCTTTAATATGTACAAACGATTAAATATATATATATATATACATATATATGTCATGTTTTCTGATACATATATACACCTATATGTAGTATTCATAAAATAAAAAGCTCTATATATACATACATAAATTTCTTTTTTATTTTATAGTTTATTTTACATAAAATCTTTGAGTTGATTTAATTAACAATTTGTTTAAAATATTTTGCATTATGAACTCAAAAAGAATAAAAAATTATTTATAATTATGATTATAGTTATGTTTTTAAGAGTGATTTATAATAATGGAATTAAATATTAGCAATATTCAGTAAAAATAATATATAGTACTAAATTACTGAAATTCAATTCAATTTCGAATATAATTCTAAACAAAATAAAAGTATCCAATTTTCAAGGTTCAAGTTTGATAATCCTGTCATTGTATAGAGGATGCTAAAGAGTACTAAACAGGAAATAAAAATTGGACTTAAACTTGGAGAATCTTAGTTTGTTCAAAATTGTACCATGAAATTGTATTGTACCATCTGACCTTAAATTTAATGAATGTTATTACAACAGATTTCTATAGCAATTGACTTATGTATCATGTTTATTTTCTTTTATCATGGTGTCCAACAGTCCTTGAATATCCTTGGATTCTGGAATTATACTGGAATTTTATGTATTCTGGAAAATTTTTAGAAAATCTCTAAAATTTCAGAGCTGGCCTGAAATTTATCATTCTTTCATTAAAAAAAAATTAGAGCGTGAAAAAAGAAATAAAAAAAAGTTGCGTTTGGATATAAGTTCTCCCTTAAAGATGCAATAAGTTACCAATAGAAAATTTGGATTTAACACCTAAAATAGAGTAGACCATAGTAGAAAAATCTTTTGTTTTGACGGAATGTTTGTTTGATATTATTTATATAGCAACAAATAATATTATTTCAAATTTGTTAGCGTTTTAATTCATTCATATAAAATCATAACTTGAATACAAAGCATATAATATTGCACAAATTGATGAAAATCGATTAAGGCTCCTGAGTAGTCATTCTTCACTTCAGTCATTGAATCATGATGTCATAAGCGAGAAATAACACGTTGATTTTTCTTACATGCCATTTGCAAATAAAGAGAATTTTGATGAAACGAAACGAGATCGCTTTAAAATACTTGTAAAAATGGGCCGAGACTCTCCTTACCTGACTGTCAGTACAAGCATTTTAAAACGATCTCAACATTTTATTTTATCTAATTCTCTTTATTTACTTACAAATGGCAAGAAAAATCAACATGTCGCTTATGACGTCACGATTTAATATGACTGAGTTGAATATTCGGGAGCTTTAAATAATGAAAATTAATCGATGGATAAATTCTGGAAAAATCGGGATTTTTACCTAGAATATCCTGGAATTATTCTTGAATTGACTAGCCAGATTTCACTGGACACCATATTTATATTTCTTCCTTAACATATCTTAAGAAAATTGTTATACATACATATGCAAATTCAGAAATTTGAAAATGAGAATATATCAATTATGGATTGTTATTTATGATCAGATCACCCATGCATACTATGAGGCAAATGAACTCCATGATGAGCTCTATGTTTTCTGATCCATTCGAGATGATGGGACAAAATGCTCTTGTGCCACGTTATGGTAGAGGATTTAATGATATGCCAGTTTCCCTCTTTGATCCTCATTTTGGAAGATCATTTGATTTTGTAAGTATAATTGAAGATAATGTATTTATGTTATTAATAATAATAATTATTATTAATGGTCTAAAATTATCATTACAAATACATTTAATTTTAACACAAATTATATTAATATATAGAACAACATGGCTGCAAGTAATGCTGCAAACTGTCATTCATTCATGAGCCAATCAGTAATGACTATGTCTAGTGGTCCTGATGGTCGGCCACAGGTTTATCAGGAGACTATGTCTACAAGAATGGCACCTGGTGGCATAAAAGAGACTAAAAAGACAGTAAGCGATTCTCGTACCGGAACCAGAAAAATGGCTATTGGTCATCACATTGGTGAGAGAGCACATATCCTCGAAAGAGAGCGAAATGTGCGAGGTGATGAAGAAGAACGACAGGAGTTTATTAATCTTGACGAAGGTAATTCTTTTTCTGGCCTTAAAAATTTAATTTGGCATATAAAGAAAAATCTTTGTTTCTATATATAAATTGATTGTTTTTATATCTATTATAGAAGAAGCAGACAGTTTTAATCGCGAGTGGGAATCACATACGCGTCGTACTGCTGGTGCAATTGGTAATACAGATTTGGCTAGTAATGTCAGAGCTAATCCAGCTCCGAGACAGTTAGCTTTACCATCTACCACGGATGTACCAGCAAGGTCAGTACCTTAGAGGACAGAATGGTTAAAATATATACATACTCAATAAAATCTTAAGTAAAATCTTGTTCAAGGTAGGAGTGTATAAACATATTTTATTCGTAAATTATAAAATTGCATGATACATGTATTTTGATACATTCTATAATTTTTCACTTTCTTCACATTTACACTCTTCAAATCTTTTATCTAATTACTATTCACAGTAGCATGTGCAGTATTACATTATCATAATCCAAAGAAAAAAAAAAAATGTTAGGATAGAGCGGGGCTAATTCTGTCAGTTTCAACTTTAAAGTAATACGAAAATTTACGATAACAAATAATATCTCTTTGCAATGATATTATACAATCCTGATTGCTCCTTGAGAGCACAAGCACAATCTTTAAATATTTAACATGTGTTGTTCAGAAACATAAGCATTATCGGGACGAAAAAGCTTCGCTGTTAACCTTAATACATAATATTATGTAAATAATTTTTTATATAAATTAATATCAATTATATGTACATATTTATTAAATTAAATTAATCTGAGTGCAAATATTAATTGGATATTCTACGAAGTATTTCAGTAAATTTTACAAGTTATTTTAATATTAAATTTTAAACTTGTTAAATTTTGATCATTATTTTACTTGTTGATAAAATTAACAAATTATATCGAGGAACAAAATTTGACTTTTTTTTTGTTTTTGGCATGTGGAGTGTCATTTCTCGAAGATTTTTGGCCGCTGAATTTTAATCCGTGCTCAGAAAAATTCTATCACGTCACATTTTCGGGCAAAATGGGGCAAAATATAGGCAAAAAACAATTTTAGCTATATTTAGAATGGTATTGCAATTAAAGAAATTTTATTTTGCCAATTTTGTTTACACTATCTTAAAATGCTACCTTTTACCTTGAATTTTTTTTGTTTCTGTACGATTTTTTATGACCAAGTTACGTGGATTTGAAGTTAGGCATACGCTGCCTCGCGCTGTCGCGCTGCGCGTTCATTTGACAAGAGACATTACCGTATTTCTTGATAATGTATAGCTAGCAAGTGTCATATTTTGATTTGTGTTTCTTAGATTTGACATTCCGAGATTAGCATGACAGTCGCTAGAAGATCATTCAGCCACAACATGTATTTCCGGAATGCACCACGTGGAGGCGATCTTTGTTACATTTCCTTTTTTATATTTTTTTAAATTATTTTATTCAATATATTATAGTATATGTTACATGTACTATATACTTTGAGTAAAATTTTCTTCAAAAAGGAAAAGGTTTTGGAACATAACCCGAATAAGCTTCTTCGAGTAAACTTCAGAAACAGTGGCAACTTCAAAGCCACGTTACTTGATGATAAAAAATCGTACAGAAATAAAAAAAATCATTTTGAAGTTAAAAAATAGCACTTTAAGATAATGTACACAAAATTGGCAAAATAAAATTTCCTTAACTATAATATCATTATAAAAGTGACCAAAATCGTTAATTTTCGCCTATATTATCCTAATTTTCTCAGAAATATGATGTGATAGGCAAATTCTGAGGACAACATCGTTTTTAGCGTCAAAAAATACTTCGGAAATGATACTTCGCAAGTCAAAAACAAAATCAGTGTTCCACAGTAGTATTAACTTTAATAGTTTATAAAAAGCATTGACAAATTTTATATTTGCGCAGCAGATATATGAACTGGATATAGACACGCCAGAAAATAATAAATGGAAATAGAGGATTCCATCATGTGTGGCCATACTTTTTATTATATGTGTATTATATATCCTCATTCTTTCTTTCTGTATGTAGTTTTGAAATAAATAACATAATATGCATGTTTGCTTTTCAATATATACTGTTATGAGAGCATGTATGTTTATTGTTTATATATAGCAAAATCTATTTTTACAATTTTTTATGCATATACTTTACTATATTATATACATATGGAAAATTAGTAGAAATCAGATCTAATAATAAAAAAAGGAAGAATGAAATTATATTTGTAAATTCAGAGTTTGTATATATATTTTATGTAATTTTCTTTTTTCATTGCAAATAAAAGAAATACTAGCTCATTATGTATAGAAATTAATGATTCAAATTTATAAAATGTTCTTTTCACACATGTGTAGCATCATTTTATTCTGTATAGCATCACTTTTTATTCTCTATTATTTCATTCTTTATGTATTCTGTTATTTGCTTCTTCGCTGGAATATTTTTCTTATTTCTTTTATTTACATTGGTCTTGTTGTCCTGTGCTTTTGTAGTCGACATTCTAATAGAAGATGGTTTCCTTCTGCTAGACGTGCTGTAAGGTCCTTAAATCCTTTGAAAGTAAAAAGTACACCTCCCTCTTCAAGGTAAGTTTAATTTCTGTCAACTATATCAAAGATTAAAACATATAACTTATATAAAAATTTATGTCTAAATGAAATATATATAAATCAAAATTTCTATCGTTTTGTAATAAATGTAGATGATTCCATTTTACTTCATAATTTATCACAGCATCAAATGTGCTATTTCATATCTGTACATGTACATATCTAACATTTTTTTTACAAGAAGAATGCATTGCAGAGTGCTTATATTAGATAGATTGATAGTAAATTGAGATAATAATGCTCAGTCTCTAATATTTACATTTCGCAATTATTATATTATTAATATCTCTTGTAATCGGGTTTTATGCTAATGTGGTATATATTATAAAAAGCATAATACTTCAAAGCCAGTATTTATAGTCTGTTCTTATGTTTAAGACTGTTTTAAGTACAATCTTAAGGGCCTCTTTCACCAACCCCGATTAACGCTAATCAATGGTCAACTCAATCACCACGATTGCCAATGTGAGAACTACACACAGAAGAGAAAGAGAGAAGAGACATTCTGATACATTAAATTGCTGTTGACACTTCTGCGAGTTAATCATCGATTAATTTAATCAGAAGTTGGTGAAAGAGGCCCTAAGATGTCAAATCAATCACAGGCCGGTATTCATAGTCCGTTCTTTATTTCAAGACTCTTAGTAATGTCTTAAGATACTAATATATGCGGTCCTCTGATTCGTGACTTCTTAAGACTGTATTTAAGACGGTCTTGAATATAAGATCTAACTATGAATACCGGTCACAAAATCGTATTAGCATTTTAAGATATTACTTAAGATAGTCTTGAAATAAGAACGTCAATGAATATCGGCGTAAGACATTTTTTAGGAATATTATTCTTATACTCTATTGCATTACCTAAGGTAATGTAATTTTCATTGAGATGTTTATTATTACAATGCAAAATTATGATTATTTAATGTCATCATTTTTTAAATATTAGTTTATGCCGCATTTTATTCTTTAGACGGTGTCGATATTATTATCAATGCTGTAGCCTTACTCGTATTTAAATTAAGATGTGGAACACATAATTCATAATACAGTGAATCTGTTAAGATTGATACAGAATATACCGTCTTGTGTGTGTATTGCAGGTACAGCCGCAAATATTAATAAGTTAAAAGCATAGTATACACCAGTGACGCTTATGCAACGTAAGTACGTTGCGCTTCACTCTATTATTTCTTTTTGTTTATTTTATTTCAATTTCAGTATTAACTTGTAATTACGAGCACTTATATTTAACATATTTCGAATAGTAATATTTTTAATATCTATCTCGATATTAGAAAGTGTATATTATATATTTGAAATGAGAGCAATCGATTTAATTTTATCATATTAGAATAAAGAAAATAATATTACGTTTTTTTACGCTTAAGTTACAAAATAAGAGTGCTGTCCCATGACAGTTGGAATTTCAGAAAACAGAATCTCGGAAAAGTAATACAACCAATCAGAATCATTCGTTAGTAGAAATATGTTAAAAACGATTGTGATTGGTCGTATTACTTTTCCGAAATTTCGACTCTTATGGAGAAGCACTCTGATTCCAATTTAATAACAATATCTACATATACTCAATCCTTATTGATATTAATATATTAGGGGCCTACTCTGCAACTCTTAATGATTGTAACTGTAGAGTTATAGTTGTTAAGAGTTACAGAATAGGCCCCTAAATATTAGTAGCTGTATATAGGTATATTTGGTAGTAGCTGTATATTAGGATTGTATTAGGTTCTTATGTAAGTATCAGTTATAATTTAATAATATAATTATGATATAATTTATTATTAATACTAGATATTTCCGAATTTCAACAGTTTCAATAAACCGTAACACACATAAATTTAATATTTGTATTATATCCACTTATATATATTTTTTGTACGTAAATTTTTTTATATACTTACATGGGCTTATATACACATTCTTTTTATTTTCGAGAAGTGTAGTTTTTGCAAGGAACACGCTACAGCAATTTCACACTATTATAGAACAAGAGCATGATTCGCTTATTTGCTTATATTTTTTTGTTTTTTTTTCCTTGCATCTAAACGTTGCACAATTTTGCAATAATTTTATCATATTGGAATTTTCATGCGCTTCAATTTCTTCGGACTTGTTTCTTTCTAATTATTATGTTATGCAAAAACATGTGTTGATTTATATGCTTACAGCTTCAAGTCTCCAGAACCCGCAACGTCTTCGAAAGCCGAAGCGTCATCGACGTCGCCGCATACATCAGGCTCTCGAAAACGCGAACATAAGCCGGATAGACAAGTTAGTAATAAGCGTCACGCTGCTCCTGCTAGTGACAACTAGAATATCTCCAATTATTATCCATAAACGTACTTTACTGAACTTTACTCTATACCTAGTACGGAACCTCATATAACGAGGTTTACTTTAAACAGTCTAGAAATATATTTTCTTTCATAATGTTAATGTTTCAAAAAAATTTTGCAATTATTTTTTTCTAAAAATTATCTCGTTCACTTACAAGAAGCATTATTATTTTAATATAGCTATGTAAACCAAGCAAAGTTCAGAGTAACGTTCTTTCTTTTTTTTTGTATACGAATATTTATTTAAGTAGATCGGTAGAATCTCAGTTATGCATTGAAAACACAAAGGAAGTAAATAGAAGCGTTTAAGATATAGCTCAGACCTTTAATTTAAAGATGTTCACAAGTTTTCATATCTTATTTTCATATATACATAAATATTCTATCTTTTAAAATATAATCGAAAATGTGTCACGTACATTGGTAGATAATAAATTTCTGTTAGTTTCATTATTGTACAATTAAATATATTAAAAAGTATAAAGGGAATAATAAATTTGTTGTTTTAAATGTATTTTTTAGACCTTGCATGTTTCATTTAATCAATTTTCTCTCTATCCGCGTATCGATGAAAGATATCCATAACTTTAAAGTATAAGGTGAGGTACTCTATCAATACAATATTTTTCCGGTCAAACAATTTATTTAAATAAAGTCAAATTTAGTGTTTATAATTGAAAGATATACATATTACATTATTCTAAAGAAGAAACGACATGCAGTGCGAACGCACGCACACGACAGAACAAAACAAGAATAGTTCCCTTGTACCAATATAATTTCAGTGCAGTCCTTTTTCTACATAAATAGTAATCTATTAACTGCATTAGTGCCAATATTGTTCAATGAAAATATTACCACACCGATCTATTATATTAGCGTAGAACCCAAAAGCTTACATGTTCAAAACTAAAATCTAAGATGCAAAATATTTAAAAACTTTTTAGTTATAACAATAAAATGATTTTCACTTCGTGTTGCATTCTACATAAAAAAAGCGAATATACAAAATTGTCAGATTTAAAATTATACGTGTTTGTGTTGTAGATTATACTATTTGATCGTATCTGTTAATGTTTTCATTGAATTATATATGTAAAATAATATCAGAATTGTCGAAAACATTTTACAAGTCTTATCATAAAGAAGCGACGCTTTGCTATAAAAGCTGAATCATGCCTTTTGAGTGAATCATCTAGAATTGGTGATCAATACTTGTATGCAGAATAAAATTAATTGATTTTTACACAAAAGTATTGTTGTACTTTTGCGACATTTAAATCAATTCAAATCATTTTCTTTACATTAATCTTTATAATTTATCCCATTATTCCATGTATAAAAGTTCTACAATCGAAAAATGAAGAGCTTGCAAGATTGCATGACTCGTCTTATATATATGCAAATGTAGCGTCGTAATAAAGCGTGATTAAAACAAATAAAAGAACGAATAAGCTATGAGAGGTAATAAAAGAAAAAGAACGTAAGAGGAAAGCGGGCAAAAGAAATAATAAAACGTGATGTTGTGTCGACGCTCCATTGGTTGGAGTGACTTCTGTTTGTTAATTATCCTCTGCTAAGGTGTTGATTCTTGCATTGATAGCCAACAGCTGTGCCACAAATGACGAATCATTCATGATAGTGGCTAAAGCAGAGAGGATATCTTGTAGGATATCTTGCGAAATATTGAGTTGTCGAGCACATTCCGCTATCATCTCCATTTCCTCGGTATCAGGACTTATCTGCAACAAATATTTTTATTGTAAATTTCAAGATATCCCCGAAGACATTTCTTAATTTAATCTCAAGATTAATATCAAGAAATATATACCTTACGCGAACCGTGGAACTTATTGAATGCCATCTTGACTCGCTTCTTCCCGTTACCCGTCTGGTAGAAAATTGTGAAGGTCTGAGTGTTGTTCATATCCAGTATAACGGGGAAATATATGCCGGCGGTGACGTGACCTTTAGTATCTCTGGCAAGGAGACTTCTCTGGTTATAAACCAAATTTCTTCGTTCTGTAACGTCAATGGCAGTTAAATATGGCCTTGCCACATAAATGAGAGCTACTTGCACCCCCTCCAAGGCACCAGGTCGAGTTTTTCTCTCATGCCACTCGACATAATCAGGATCGTCGGCACACAGACAGTAGTTGTACTCTTTCTTACAGGTCGGTTCATCGGATTGCGTGAACCAGCCCGTATGAGGGTATAACTTATCGGCCATCACAGTGATAACGCGCGCTACATGATAACCGGGATCGAGTAACATGACGCCGCGACGTCCGCCAATCTCGATTTTCAGGCACACTAGTACATGCTCCTTTTCGCCGCTATCTGCCGCTGGTGGACCGCCAACATAGCCGGCGATATCACCAATCGTCTATAATAAAACATTAATTTTTCTCGTAAATATTAACAATTTAAACATATATTAAACTTACTTTTTACAGTTAAACTTCTCGCATGGTTCATCTTTTCTCTTTTCTTCTCTCTAATGTAAAAAGAAAAACAGAAGAGATGAATCATGCAAGAAACAGCTAAAGAAACAGATCTACAGGTATCAAATAATTGGTTGACAAAAGAATTTTTCCAAGAGCTATTGAACTATTGAATATCACATATTGAATAGCATATGTAAATTATTATTGTTTTAAAATAAGGACATGAAAAACATTTTTGTAACTTACTTCTTCACAAGATACTAAATAGAGGCCACTTGCTATTCCTGGGAATCGCTTATTCAATCCTGTTAATCGATGTAATAATTCAAATCCAAGACCGACGCAAGTATGGTGTTCGTGTGTTATCAGTGGCTGATATTTCCGGTAGAATCGATCCAGCGCACTTTCTCCACTTGCAGTGTAGTCCTTGTAGAACCTGTACAATCGACATGGCGATTTATTATTTACAAAGTACAAGAATGATAAAATGAGAAATTGTGTTAATTAATTTAATTTACTTTATTGCAAGGCTCTATAAAAAGACTACATGTTAACAGAGTAAAATATAATACAATAAACTATAGTAGCTTGCAAATGGTTAGGCATCAGCAAAACTGCTGTTACAAAGCCTATCAGCAACAAAAACCAGAACAGAGACATAGATGCAATAAGTGGTGTATCACGTACCTGAGGAAATTGCCAATAGTGTCATAGCGATGCTCACGCAATAAGCGTTGCGTTTCAAGTTCAACGCTGCCTGCTAATTCCTCATACTGTTCGACCGTGGAGACGGTCAGGGCTGGCGACTCGTAATGGGCCCAGACCGGCAGGGGTAGCGGAACACCCCTGATCCAGGGCCCGCGTGCCTGCCCCTGTGGCTGGCACCATATCTCTGCCGTCTCGAGTCAACTCGGCCATTCGCTGCCCCAGCGGCCAACCGTTGGCACAAAGCCATGCTCGTCCCTGCAGCTGCTTATTGGCTCTACAGGGCTCTCTCCGTGTTTTATACTCTTCTCTCGCTCTGTATCCAAACATACGAAATCTTTTATTCTTTATAAAACAAATAAAAGTAGAGATTAATTATTTCCCTTTACGGCCGCGATACTCTAACGAGTTACTTTTCGGCAACAAATCGCAATGTATCGTTTCAAATGAATCTTTTATTTCACAATCCCTATATGTATTCAAAGTGAAATGGAAAGATCTTTGTACTGATGAAGGAAAAAAAAAAACAGAAACAATAGAAAGCCTAACAAAGCGCTTTAGAAAATTGAAAAAAAAAAGATCTTTTTGAGTTATATAATAATTATATAATAATAATAATCTCGTATAATCCGTTTAAGAAAATACTCTTCGGACACGATGGGCTTCAATTGCGACGCAACGCTACCGCGACGTTACTCCTCTCCCGCGGCTGCCGCGCGCGGGCAAACGATCGCGGGGACGCGTCCGCGATTACCGTAAGTCCACTGCTATTTGAGCACACGGATGAGCACGGTGCCGTAAGACAAGATCTGCGAGATGAGTCTGGAGAAGCGGATCGGATTTGTCATCGGCTCGGTATCCAACATGGCGGTGTTGTACGCTTGTTAGAGGACGCGCGTGGCGAATCAATACACGACCAAATAGATACGTAGCGCGTGCCACGTGTCTGCTCGTCACGACCTTCGCTGTGACACTTCGTCACAGCTGGGGAAATTCGCGGGATCCCGTTCGCTCTTCGCGGAAATCTCTCTCGAGCGGAAGCGGGTGAAAGAGAGCGAGGGAAAGGCGAACGCCCGTCGCGTCCGCGGGGATTTCCGCCGCGGAAAACGCACTCTCGATTCACGCGAGGAGAACGAGGTCTCTCGAAGGGGGACGACCGTCGAGATCTATCGGTCGAGCCGTCGCCGAAGGCCGAGCGACGGAAACGCGAGGGGACATCGGAATTCAGGCGGAATTCTCCCCCTGCGGTGGACCCTTTCAGCCTCGAGGGAGACTCGCCTGGAGGACGATATCGCCTCGCTATTTACAATCGCGCGCGGTTATCCGCGCGCGCGGCGAACACGAGCGGATATATTAGCGAGAGTCATCGATGACTCACGAGGGGGAGGCACAATGACTTCGAGGGAAAAAGGGCGTGTGATGATCCAAGCGAACGATTTTGCGGGGGGAAAGGAGGAAGTGTTTTTCTTTCCGTCGCGCAGAATCATTCCCGCACAGTGAAAGATCTCCAAAAAAAAAAAAAGAAGAAAAATAAAAAGAAACACGAACCGCCAGATCTCGATAATACTCGATCGTGCATCTCGAGCGAGCGTTCCTACGATCGAACGACGCCTCGCACTTACCCATACAACGAGCGCACCAAACAAATAAAAACTTTCCCTCCGCGCGAGCTTTGTTCGGAAACTCACGTGTCCGAACTTCAAGTAGAACTGAGAGGTGGGACGCGAGCGTAGGGTTATATACGTTCAGCTGCCCCTTCCCGCTCTACCGTCTAACCGTTCTTTCGGTCGCCACCCCTCCCTCGCCCCGCGCGTCATACTTGTGCGCGTTTCTCCACGTGATCGCGATATACGTATACCGTCTCATTGTTGACCGAAGTTCTCTCTAATACAGCGGCAACGCGAGGATGTAATTAGGGGGTTTTTGCAATAGCGTTTATCCAGATACGGTGAACGCTAAGGTCAGGTTATCTTTTTTTTAACAACTAATTAAAAAAAGGATAGCATGATTTTAGCGTTCACCGTATCTAAATTCACGTTATTGCAAAAACTCCCTATTATCTCGCGCCGATAACGCGCCCAAGGCCTTCCGTTTCTCTTTTTCGCACGTTTCCTTTTTTCTGTATTTTCGTATTACTTCGTCCGCATTTTGTTTTTATTCGCGAGTCATTCGCGGAATAGGTACTATATCGAAAACGTTCCAAGAGGTGGGGATTAAGTTTAGAAGCGAGAGAGAGGCTACGTTTACACCGTGCATTTAGGCCGCGGCCTATACGATAGATGTCCTTGTTTATCCTGTAGATTAAACAAAGACACCTATCTTATAGGTCGCGGACTAAGCGCACGGTGTAAACGTAGCTAATGAGAGAGATAGAGAGAGAGAGAGAGAGAGCAGAAAAAAGGTAGCGAATTTTCCAATTAAACGTCAATCAGGAAACGCCAGCGGCGGTGATTATAATTTTATTTGAATTCGAAATTATCCTTGGATTACAAAATAACTGTATTAAATTCAATATTACTTTTCTATTAATTGTGTTTATGAAGAATTATATAAATGTAGCGATAGATCTCGACGAAATCGTGATACAAATAAGATTAAATTTTTAAACAGCGAGCTTGTTTATTGCTCAATATAATTTACATTTGTTTACTGTAGCCGAAACTACCGTGGCCTGTTTTTATTTCTCTTTTATTATTGAAATTTAAGAATAATATTAATTTGTCGTATGATGAATTTTTCAAGCGTGTTAATTGGCTGTAGAACAGAAAGATTTTTTTTCGGATCTCTCCTTTATATGTATACATCGATACATAGGCTCGAAAGTCATATGACAATTAAATGTAATACCAGCTTAATAACGAATTCAATTGGACGGACTCAGTGCGCTGTACTGATGTATATATATTGGCTGCGTTCAACAGAGAAAGCAGTTTTGCAACTGTTGTAAAATTCTTTGATATGATTAGTTTATATACATTTAGATCCATAAGGAACCAAAAACAAGAACCAATCGTATTGAAGAATTTTACAACAGTTGCAAAGCTGCTTTCTCTGCTGAACGCAGCCATTATAAAGCCGTCGTACAAATATAATGTAAATGTGTAGGGCCTCTATTCTTGAAAAGCAACGTATAGGGAAATACTATAGTATACAATTGATTCTTTTTCCAACGTCCGAATATATACTATATTTATCTTATTTTAAGAGTGTACAAATTTTGAGGATTTTTAAGAAACGCGAACAGATCTATTGTAACAACATTGTAACGTTGCAGTAATGTTGTTTCTAGGTCTATTTTTTATTTCTGTACTCTGAACTGGTGCACATGGTGCGATAAGTTAAAATGAAACAGATAATGTATTTCACTTTAACTTATTTATGCACCGTGTACATCAGTTCAGAGAGTGCAAGAATAAAAAATAGATCTGTATTGTTCTGTGCTATATAGGATATTACGTACGATATATTTTTCAAGTGTGTTAATTGGCTGCAGGCCAGAGAGGTTCTCAGATCTCTAGAGATGAGTACACACCTAGAGATGAAAATGATCGAAAAAAAAAAATTAGAAACTTCGAATAAAAAACTTCCCAGATAGCGAGTTGTTTAAATTACTTGCAATATTGAGAAAAGCAGCTTCTGATCCTTTTCTGGATTGCCGACTTTTATTTCTACTAACGATTTATGAGCAACTTGATGGCAATACTCAGGTAACAGTTCCCTCTTACAAAGAGATTGTGGCAATTTTTATAGCAAAACTAAAAGGAAACTTGTGTCAAGCAACTATTTTCTTTCTTGTAATAAGGAGCTTGGCTATTTGGGTAAAAATCTTAGTAAAAAAATATTTTTTTTCCTTGGTTCCTGAAAGTTTTTTTTACTCGTAAATGAAAAATTATCAGGGACCATTGCACAATGTCATGCATGACTAATTATGAGTACATCTAATTAGATTTTTTCATTTTTCAATTTAAATTCGCTATGAGATTTTTTTGGAGTACTGTACAGCCGGGATAGTAGTGATGCAATTGCCACATTGTGTAATCGATCTCTGATCTTTTGACTTTATCAATAGAGTGAATGGATCAGCTGATGCTTTCAAATTGTTACTTTCTGTTCGAATAACCGTCATAATATATGAGTAAATTATATTTACAATTAATATGCGTGTCTAAAAGAAATCTTTCAGACATTTATTATTAACGTATTAAAATTAATAAAAATTAATAAAATTAATAAAAATTAATAAAAAATTATACGTATTGGATTTTATAGATACGATATGCATGATCGAAATATAATAAAAATTGTCGCATTTATTCTACATTGAATTTAAAAAATTTTATCGACTTTCTGCTGACAAAATTTGTTTTCGACTGATTTGATTAAAAATACACAAATTCAATCATATCCTTAATAAAACTTGAAAATTGTTTTCTTCCTTTATTTGTCGTCCACAGACAAAAAAAACAGTTATTGCTCTTTCAATTTCTATTTGATATTTTAATCATCAGGTGCTTTCCATTTAGCTGAAAAAAATTTTTAATGACACTTTTAATGACAATTTAATTTAAAATGACTTATTGTCATCCATGAGACGAGATTCTTATAACGATTGGATGGGTGTTTTTCATTTGGTAACACAAGTAGAAAAACATCATTCTATCTTTCTTGACATTTAGAAAGTAATAAGGATAGGACTACTTGTGTCGACTTGTATCATCAAATGAAAAGCACTCTTCATCACAACAATCTTCTATTGTCATGAATGACAATAAGTCACAAAGATGTTATTCGACGGTTAAATGAAAAAGTTTCTTTCCCGAGACATTCAGTTAATTTGGTTTTACAAATCAACAGGAATAATTGCGTCGTACATGGAAGTAAAAAAAAGTTCTTGAATAATTTATACGTATATATTCATTAGGAATTTGTATATACGACACGTGTTTCAAGCACGTTTAAGGGGATTCTAAAGTCATCTGTATTACTGACTGAATCATAATTTTTATATAACAAATACTCTTCTCTTTCACAGATTCTCGAAAATTCTTTTCCAGGATTAAAGTATACGCATTAATACGTATTTGTGAGGTAGAGTTTATGCCGAGAATGACAAAAAATTTCGAAATTGAAATCTTAAATTTTTTATCGTTCTCGGCATAAACTCTATCTCACAAACACGTATTAATGCGTATATTTTAATCTTGGAAAAGGATTTTCGAGAATCTGTGAAAGAGAAAAAAGTATTTGTTATACAAAAATTACGATTTAGTCGGTAATACAAACGGCTTTAGGATCCCCTAAAACGTGCTTGAAACACGTGTCGTATATACAAATTCCTAATGAATATATACGTATAAATTATTAAGAGTGATAATGAGTTTTCATCAACTAGAGGTCATTTACTTGGAAAGACATGGGCGTGAAAGATGTGGGCGTATTTGAGTAAATACGTGTATGTTTGCTATTCGTATAACCGCCTACGCGATCACGTCAAGTACAACACAGAAAATCATAATAATATCGTAAAGCTATTATGACCTTATTGGTCACTTATAAGTTTATTTTTAAGTGACAAATAACGTCATGATGACGTCCTACAATATCATTATAACTTAATTATAAGTAGTATATACTACTTGGACGTAGGTTACGTTCGTATCTGGAAAACATATGCTTCGTAGAAGATATTCGTTATAGGAATCCAGAATATTTATGATAAATATTTATCATTATTCATTTTTTAAATGTTATATTTATAAATATTTTATACATATTTTATATAAAGTTTTATT